ACGTCATCCATTATCATGACAAATGCAAATATAGATTAAAATAAAAGGTAAAGTTCTATGATAAAAATAAAGGAGGTTTGTATACTATATACACGCAAGTACATTGTACAGTACGAAATAAAAGGTTAAGTTTTATGAAACAAATAAAAGAGGACAATATTGGTAGATGCATATTCATACCTGGCAAAATCCATTGAAGACTTCATTTTCAGCCACCAAGATCTTCTGGACACCACCAACTTTGGTGAGTTCCTCCACAACCTGTAACGAATTTGACGCACCCAGTGAGACCAAAACGGTCATGTGTTACTGTTAGTAACATGTAGCAACCTACAATTTTCAAACTTGTGGTCAAGAGGAATGGAACCTTGTTTCAGTTGGCATTTTATTGATACGAGACAAATATAGGAATAAACAATGGACAATATTTGCATAATCAAGGAAAATTTTGGTACTTTTTGTGACCCACTATGATAAACAGCCCTTCGTGCTTAACCCATAAATCTACATGTATCACAGCAAAGTAAGTATTGTAATAGTAATAAATAAAGGGTAATAAATGAGTTTTCTACTGATACTATTACTTGCCATACAATTAATGTGGTAAAAACAACAATGTGATTGACTGAAATCAAGTTTCCAAACTTTCTGTGTTAAGGTTGAAATACAATGTAACTTACAATTGTACAAAAAATGTTCAAATATTGTTCAAACTGTGATATCTTTTAACAACAACAAAAAAAAAGACGAGAGCTTACAGAAGCACATTTGCTCCCAGCCACCAGGCAGGCAATGTCCCCCCCTAGTTTAGCAGCAGCAGTGATGGTGTTGAGTGTGATGGGGGTCAGCTGTGCATTGTTGTGTTCAGCGATCACGAGTGTGCTGTTCAGACGTCTGAAAACACTGGCCTAGGAAAGAGAACACAGGTCAAAGGGTTAAGTAAGATTTTGCCAAGTGGGAACTACATGTTGCCTCCTTGGAACTCCTTGCCCGACTCGGTAGTTGTGGCTCCCAATGTTGAGTCTTTCCGAGCCAGGCTGGCGGCCTGCCAGCCTTAGCCCGGGCCTCTTCTCACCCCTTAAGTTACGGCACCCTTTGCTGGGTTATTTGCGGGTAAACAAGATGATGATGATGATGATGATGACAGGTAAGGTGGTAAGGTGGCCTTGTGATTAGGGTAGTTTACTTATTCATTTATTTAGTTGACTTACTAGTGGCATCGCAAGATTCTGGGTTCTAATCCCCAATGTTGTACCCTTGTGAATGGTACTAAATAGTATTAATACATTTTTTTCCTCACTCAACTCAGGTGACAAATGAGTACCTAAGCTTCAGTTAGGGACGACCTCTCGGACGGTGCGTAAAGCCAGAGGTCCTGAGTTTTAGGTCCCGAGGAGAGTTACTTACACCTCATTTGTTTGTTTGTTTGTTTGTTTGTAACCTCGAGCACGTTTAAGATCCAACAACACTTATTTAAAAGAATAATGTTTAATTCTAGTGTGAGTACTGTACAACTTGCTATACTATTAAACCCTGAATACTAGTAGTTAGACTATTACTATATGCCCTAGAGACCTATAAAAGAAGAGCTGCCCCCTGCCCCCAAGAAAAATTCAACTGGTACAAGTTGTTCAGTGAGCTGTAGAAAAGTAACAGTAATGTAAAACTAAGGCCGACTTTAGACTGACGACGGTATACGATCGCACGACAATCGTTGTTGGCGACGGCTGGCTTTAGACACATGACCAGAATGTGTGGCGGACACCCGCAGCGCAGGATGGCACGCCGCGCGCCAATTCAAAATGGCGAGAGAACCCCTTTTTTCGGCATGCTGCAGCAGATTGTTTTTATTCTGCTTTTAACTCGTTGTCCTGTTGATGAGACGCCGAGTTTGTGCCCAGCAAAGAAGGGGTATATGGCACATGTACCGAGCGGGGCAATACTCCGGGTTTGAACCCGGCGTTCGGTGCTGACGTCGGCCTGGCTACATTGGCCGGGAAATGTGGATCGGCGGATCGGTTCGCACAGGAAAAGTAGCGATTGGTGGCAGGGGATTGTACTAGACACGTATGACGATATAAAGTCTTTGGTTTGACGACATTTAATGATACAGGCGATGTGCTTGGACATGAAATAACGCTTGCAGGCTTATTTACATAAGGCTAATGACCTCCCACTTCCGTCGCCGGCGACGGTTCACTTTAGACGGTGGAAAATCCTCCTCGGACCCCCCGCTGAAGGATCGCACGATAGGGTCCGAGGTGGTAGTGACGACGATTCGAGGATTACCGTCGTGCGACTATTTTGATCGTGTTTAGACGGTGGTAAAATACCGTCGCCGGCAACATCTTGACGATAAACATTCGTACGACTATCGAACCGTCGTCAGTCTAAAGTGCCCCTTAGTAGGCTGAAGGTAGGTCCTTGTTATAAATCATTACAATACACAGTCTGTATAATTTTTTATGAGGGGAGGGGGGCATCAGAATTGATTAGTATAAATAGACATATTTTGGCGACGGCGGATCTTTCTTTATTGTAATACTATTTCTGTAATCTACAAATATGATAGTAAACGTCATGTTGAACCTTGAGCTCATAAATTTTGTTGCTGTTCCTAAAATGTTTCCCCTCCCCATCTTCCTGTGCGTCTGTGTATAAAAACCAAAACAAAAGACACCAAAATTACAACTTACTGTGCTCGATAGTCTTTGGGCCGACCTGGAGACAATGTGGAACATTTTTGGACCTCTATGTGACCAAATTGTTCAGACAACTGAGCAAGAAACGATTTAAAACTGCTAACTTTACGTAAACGTCGTATCTTACACAAGAAAGGTCAACGGACGAAACCACTGCAGGATAGGGGTCACGACGACTGTGGTCTCACATACGAGTTCGTGACAGGTGTCCTGCAATCATGTTTACACTACTCGAACATGAAGTTGGCCCTTTCTGAACAACATTCTGATTTGATACATATCAACAACCTATTTCGCAATAAATTAGCTATTGATGAGTCATGATGTAGCGTCCTACGGTGGACATTTTCAGCCTTGAAACTGAATATGTACGGGAAAAGCAAAAAACTTGCCAGGCTGTCAGGCGTCATACCAAATGACGTTGAAAGGGAATTTTATCACAGTTTTAGCCACACTATGTTCAAATTCGTTTCACGGGTGCTTTACAGTGTTATGTCATTTCTCGTAACACGTTGACCGATGTATTACATAGACAAAGTACACCAACATCATGCAATGTTCAATACGATGACGGAATGTGATTTATACCTATATGCCATCGTGTTACTTTTAATGACGTTCTATTGTAGTACACATTTTAGAATGTTGGTCAAGTGATAGAAATGTCCATGATTTTTTTAGATTTATATGGCCAGGTAGGAATTGAAAACAGTAGCCATTGCCCTATTTTCCATGGGTAATGTACAACCATGAGCCTAGTCACTACTGTTCAGAAATGAAAAATATGATTTACGACATACAGAGCCACGCCTGCTGGACACCCACTGACCCGCACAGAGACTGCAAGGCTCGGTCGACTTTAGAAATATCCTACCAAAGTCCGCATAGCTGCACCAAAATTCCGACTACTTCTGGGCGAAATCATTCGTGTTGGAAACTGTGAAAGGTCATACCGAAGCCACTCCGCAATTACTCTGTCAATCGCAGATTTTCCGGCTGTTACATTTCTCTCCCCATCAGTCACCTCCCTCTGCAGCTTTCCTTTATTACACAATAAATGAGAAGGATTAACTTGGTCACAGTGTGTCACATTCCGAAAATTGCTTTCCGTCCTAATCTCAGAAGAGATGAATAAAACTCTAAAACGGAGGAAAATTTTGCGACGGATACAATATAATCATCATTCCGTGTCATATATAGACGGAGATAGCCGTGGTTTTATATCGAGATGGCCGGCGTAGCTGTAAAATTGAAAGATAATAAAGTTTATGAAGTAGCACTTATTTTCGACAGTACAACTGGCTTTGACCTTACTTTCGACAGGTACTGTATTTCATCAGTTTCCCCGGACGCGGACCGAAGGGCCATTAGGTGGGATCATGAGTCCCGATAGGATGGTATCAGTACGGTATCCAGGGATACTAAGATTTCATTACTTTCAATGATCATCAAGTTCAGGGAATATAAAGTTACTTTGGAATCAGAATAATCACCGAGGTACGTTTCCTTCGCTGTAAGGTCATATTCGTTGTGCGATTTTTGGTCGTAGAATTTTCACCGAGACTATGACAGAACCGACGACTGTGGGCAAGGATCTACGAAAACCTTTTCGTCATCACAAAACAGCTGAATTTGTAGAACACATCCGCGACTGTCTCAATAATGATGCCCTTAATTTGCTGTCGTAAACCTGTCGTACGACGACTATTACAGGCAAGAAGGCGTCGTCATAGAAATTTATTGTAGCCCACAGTAAACGCATATGAAACGCCAATCGTCGGTGCTAAACGTCATCGGTATGAGAAGAAGAATTTGCTGCTAAGTCGATGCCTGAAGCTTATGCATAAAAAAGCTGCTGTACGTTTTAATTATGACATTTACTATAACATCGTCCAAAATTGTTCTCCGTCCACCCCTTCATTCAACTTCTCCTCTAGTCCCAAACTTCTCGCCTGTTGCCAAACCTGAGACCAATGTTCTTCTGGCTGATGCATACAGCAATACGGCAATCTTTTTAAAATCACCCGCCTCTTGCAGGTGCAGTATTTTCCTTCACTTTGCTCACTGCCTTGAGTGCATGCAGACGGGAGTCGTAGTCACCGTATAAAATAACCCAATTTTCTAGAATAGGTCGGACTCAGTCGGGGATGATGTCTACTGCTGGTAGATAGTACTCCCGGGGTCCCCCAATCTTTAATCGAAGAACTCCTTTTATGAGAGGGAATGATTATTAATACAGTAATCAAGTCGCACGGCGTACCCTGGGAGCCCCTTAGGGTAAGACCCCCAATAAAGCGGAGAGGACATTATTTGCATGTGTAATGCGAACTCTATCAAACACGGATTTGTCCGATCTTATCCGGGCATTATTACTTTTGCCTGGCAGTCCCCCTGAGCGAAAGTGATAACCACTGTGCAATTGATGTGAAGTTGCACTCTGATCCCAGGTTTATCCCCACCTTGGTCTTTAGTGCATACCACGGAGGTGTACTTGGCGTACTAATAAGTGGCCACGGGGCGCATGGTGTTTTTTCTTCCTTTGACTTGTGGCTGTTTCAATGGCAAAACCAGCGCGTTCTGTTTGTATCATTTGTTTGTTTAGCTTATGTCATGCCTATCTTTCTTATATCCTGGATGTTATCTTTCCTGTTTTTAGTTACAAATGTCAATTGGTTATTTGTTTTCCGTGCTTTGTGTGTGTATTTCGATTTTGAAAAGTTTTCTAAAGATATAAGAAAGGAACATCCTGTTATGAAACCAGTGGATTGCTATGATAGTGATACACAGCGATGTGACAGTGTTTTGAGATGACGACACATACCGAAAGATAAAAAAAATACCGTTAGATCCTATGTGACTGCTGTACTTCAGTTTGTGCATACATTGTATACCCTTGAAAGTTGGGTTGAACATTTCGACCCAGTAATAACCTATACGAAGAGCAGATAAAATTCCAAGTTTTTGCTAAGTGTCAGTTTCTCTCCGTGCTCAGTTCCGGATCCAGTACACATCGACCTCCGTAAAATCCGGGGATGTCGAACCGGCGGCTTGTCCAATATCGTCTGATCTGTCGGTAAATTGGACGCCTCTGCTCACGGCTCCCGTGTGTATATTCGCCAATTTACGCCCTCGCTACCAATCTTTGTTCCAATTGGAAATTATATTATTTTCATTACAGGTCTGATATATCGAATTACTGCGGCGGGCCACATAGCATCTCGAGGTAAGGCTGTAGATGTAATCCCTGTTGCCGTACAGGTGATTTATGTTGGGACCGACCGCCGCGGAATTAACAGCTGGATCTGGGGTCGCGCGGACGTAAATCAGCAGACCTAGTTTGTACGGCAGCACAACCCCTCCAGGACCCTCCATGCCCTGGTCTGGCCCTCCATAACTTAACACTGGACCTTTATTGATCAAAGTTCATGTCAAGCCCAGAAGCAAGCGGTTTGCTGAATTCCCGTACGAAAAAGTTTAAACTACTAGTATCCATTTTTTAAGTCCCCCCATAGTAAAACCTCTTGTGATATTCTTGCATTCTACCGTTGCCAATATATTGAAGAAAGAAGAAGCCAACATCATACTTAACTTTCGGACTAGCTTATAAACACGTGCTTGTATTCTTTTCTGTTTCGTGACCTGTACTTAGCCCATTGGGTCAAATATGTAAATATACAATAAAATTCTGCAGCATCATCATTACCCTTCTCCCGTCTTGGTCTGTACCATTCCCATTAAAATAAAGTTGAGCTCAAGCAGATGAGACGGGTTTTCTAGGTTGCCGGCCAGCACATTGCAAGCTCTACTAATTATTTTGTATGTTGTTTGGCATCTACGTTATTCATATTTGACCTGACTGAGTCCTGCACTGCATGTTTTATTTTCTCTTCCGTCCATGGATAATTGTTGCTAGTTGTAGCGTGACGACTGTACTACATGTCCCGGAAGAGTGCTTTTATCTCCGTGTGACACGGCGCACATACAACATTGATGTCCTAATTGAAAAACAATGTTCCGTACTGGCTGACATGTATTCACAGCGGGACAGGCAGATTTACATACTCGATATGCATCATCAGGTATGATGAGCAGGATCCGGAAACACTGCATCAACGTGGCATCAACAACAGAGTCGTTCCTATGCACAGCTCCCAACTTTATATGATATGAATTCTGGATATTTGTAAAAGGTAACGTACAGCAGCCACCCTTAACTGAAATGAAGCACAATACGTTGTCGTCTAGCTGATAGTAGTACAATACGACTTCACCATGGCTAACACTTTCAGCCTCTGTTGGTTTTTTTTACCTGCGGGGCCCTTTGACGTCTGACTGAGGCGAAAAAGTTGATGCTTGAAGTCACCATCCAAAATGACGAATGCACAAGTCAAACCATGCCCGGTCATATTTGTTATTTTGACCCCACCCACCCCAAAAAAAAATTGCCAGGAATAAATAGCTGCTTTATTGACGCTTCTAATATAATTAATTTTCAAAGAACCAACAGAAGTCTGTCAGCGGAAGTTCGGTTGGTCGGTCGACACGTCAGACGTTTGTCAAACAATCTTCAGCAAAACTCGGCAACCAATCAACGACGCCCGTCTGCTCGGCTCGGTAGCCCGGTAACAAACGACATCTCCTCCACACATCAGATGATGAGGACGAAGTTGTAATTACTCCAACACACACGGAAAACAGATTTGAGCATACGACTGCCGTGTGCCACGGCGTTCGTTTGGGAGCTCAATTCACAAAAACCAGGTCTCTCATCACTGATGTCGTCATGACTCCGCGATAATTATCCTTCCTCTGATAACGTTTTATTATGTTATGCCCATATCTTGGGTAATAATCGAGAGCAGCGCCTACGGGCTTGTGTCACAATCACAGATGGTAGAAGTTGATGAATCAGTCAGGTCATTTCCTACAGCACACACAGCTAATCCCTCCACAACAGTCATCGTAATTACAACCATTTCATCTTGGTACCGTGCCCTCAGCTTTGGGAGGGTTCCAATCTAACCAAGTTGTTTGAAAGAGTGGGGAAACTCGTTGAGTATGTAATGATATTTTTGATGGCGGCTCTTCTGCGAGCGCCTACCGAGTTATCGCGAGGGTGGCCGGCCTAACTTTGTATTACGACAGTTGTCGAGTACAGAACTGC